ACAGAGCGGAGTTTAGGGCTGTTGTACATAGGGTTGCTATGAGTCGCAGGCGACTTGATGGCACATAACAACAACAACAACAACAACAACAACCTGCAGAAAACTGAAACCAGGTCTCACACCAAACACAAAAACCAATCCAAGGTGGGTTAGAGACTTAGGGGTGAAGTCCAAAACCATAAGGATCCTAAGAGCAAAATGAGACCAAATATAGAAGCCCTAACCTAGGGCTTAAATATACTTTCATGTATATCTAGAAATTCATGACCAGGAGAGGAAAAAATTGACAAAGAAGGTTTTTTGGGGGGGCTATTATGTCTGTCTTAGGGGTGGTGGAATATTTTGATAACTGATAGTGATTTTTTTGGAACTGAATGTGAAAAAATATAACCAATGTCATTGACTTGTAAATGTGGAAGTTCTGTTGGCAGATGTTTTCATGTGAATATCTTCAATAAAAACATAAAAAGATAAAGAAATGAAACAGATCAAAATTGTTCCCACATATTTCTCAATTTCCTTTTTTCTGTTCCTTCTTTCTGAAGGATGTATATTTTAACAAAAAAGTTTAGCCCAATGCAGAAAGCTTTCTGAGTTATACAAAAACTCGGCTTCTTTCAAAGAAAACCTCTTAAGATAACCTCTTCAGGCACAGTGACATCTTTTTCGCAGGGAAACAGAAGCCTGTGAACATACAATGATGCAAGGACAACCTGAAGAAAAAGGTGAGCTCTTCTTGGTTCTAAAGTGGTGATAGGGGTGTAATGAAATGAGAAAACATATATTGAGATTATAAGGATAACTGTGAAAGAAGTACACAATTCTTAGGGAAATAATGATGAAATCACAATAATTTCAATATTAATATTTCAATAATATGGAACCATTGACTGAGAAAAGACACCACCCCAAGACAAAACAGAAAACCAACAACTCAAAAAAACCAAACCCACTCAGTCCTGGAAGCCTTTGAAAGAAAAACTTTGATGACATAAGAAGAGAAATTGAAGGTAAAGTGATATTGGAAAAATGTGGGGAATTACTGAGGAGATAGATTTCAGGGGAAAGAGTAAAGAATTGAAAAATTCAGAATCTTGTGGGTGGATTTTGCCTGAAATTGTCTTGAGCTCCAGGTTACAAGCTGATCATTTGTTTTCTGGGGCCTTTTTCCACTTTCACAATTTTCAATTTTAAACGTCTCTTTGTTCATTTGGAACTTGATGGCATAGTGTATGATGTGACTATTGTCCATCTATTTGCTACTGGGCAGCTGGTAGATTTAGGAGGGAAACACATACTGTAAACTGCCATCAGAATCCCTTCTGTTTTGAGCTCCTTAAAATTTTTTCTAAAAATTTGCAATTTTTTGAGAAAGTGCCACACCATTTTCCACAGTGGTTGCACCATTTTACACTTCCATCAACAATGAATAAGGGTTCCAGGTTCTCCACAACCTTGCCAGCATTTGTTGCTACCATTTGACCCAGTAATTCCACTACTGGGAATATACCCTAAAGAGACCATAACCGACATCCAAGCAGATATATGCACACCCATGTTCATCGCGGCTTTGTTCACAATAGTAAGGAGTTGTAAATAGCCTAAGCGCCTATCAACAAACGAATGGATAGAGAAGCTGTGGTATATTCACACAATGGAATACTACGCTGCCTTGAAAAACAAGGAATTCATGCAATATTATTCCAAATGGGTGACCTGAAGGACATTATGCTGAGTAAAATATCTCAGTCACAAAAAAGACAAATACTGCATAGTGCCACTGTTGTAGAATGGAACTGACATCAGGGTTGGGGTAAGACTGAGAAAAAACTGGATAGATTATGTATACTGAATTGAAACGGACGAGGGAGAGAACAGTTTAAAAGCAATATATGATAGGGTATTATGATTATCACAGGAATCTAGAATTAAGGTTGCATAGTGGAATGCATTGAGGGGTGGGGTGGGCGGGGCGGGGGGATTGTATACCAACTAAGAAGTTTATCTTTTGCTTTTCAAAAAGAGGAATGAACTGGGGGAGGAGGTAAAGAAAAGATGCAAAAATGCATGAATGGAAATAAAAAATCTCTGTAAATGTTCATTAAAATTAATAAAATTTTAAAAAAATTCTAAAAATTAAGTCTCTATGTGCATCAAAACCTTTTCCTGAAAGAATGTAAGAAAAGTCTACCAACTGGGAAAAATACATTTGACAATGACATTTCTGACAAAGATCTCATAAAGAAAGTTTACAGAATATTACAGGGCATCTACAAGAAAAAGATTGACAACCCAATAACAAAATGGGCAAAAGACATGGAAAAATCTCTTCACAAAGGAAGATACTCAGGTGGCAAATAGATGCACAAAAAGATGTTCAAAATCACTGGCAATCAGAAAGATGTAAATCAAAATACTCCCAAGAAAGAAATTATACTAAAGGAATAAATCCAAGTTGCGCTCAAAGTATAGACAATAAGCAAGGCAACAAGAATGAATGGAATATCAATTAGGATGTTTCAACAAAAGGATGCCATATTGGATGTGTTCATTTGTCTACACCAAAACGTTTAGAAGATAACTAACTGGCCAATCAGCTAGAACAGATCTATATCTTTGCCTGCTTAAAAAGATCCAGAAGAATGTGGAAAGTCATGTGGGTACTGTCAGAATAAAGACATGTTGATAAATGAAATAGACTTCAAAGTCCAGAAATCAATTTACACATTTATGCCAATTAAGTTTCAACAAAAGTTCTAAGTATTTCAATAAATGGTGTTTGGAAAAGTGAGTTTTCATATTCAGCAGAAAGATCAGTATTCAAGCCCCACAGCATACACAAAAGCCATTTCAAAATGGATCATGGACTTAAATGTGACAACTAAACCCATGAAATTCTGAGAAGAAAATATGGAGATTAAACTGTGAGGTCATCTAACAATAGATGATCAAATTTGACAACAAAAGTCCCAGTGACAAATAAACAGAAATAAAATACTTATTGTACATCAAAGAATTTTACCAAGAAAGTGAAAAGATAGATTGGGAGAAAATGTGGGGGAACCACAAGTCAGATAAATATCTAATATCCAAAACAGATTTTAAAAAAATCTTCTATGACTTAACAACAAGAAGACAAACAATGCCTTAAAGAAAGAGCAAAGCACTTGAATAGACAGTTTACGTAAAAGGATATTCAAAAGGTCAACAACGTACGAAAAGAAGCTCAATATGATTAGCCATTTAGAATATATGAATCGAAATCTCATGATCCAAGAAAACAACAGGAATAACTAGTTTCTCTCCATGCAGAGAAACTAATTGTTGTTATGTACCATTGAGTTGGAAGAAGCTCTTAACTACCTTCCAGCATGTTTTCAGAGAATGTAAATCTCAAGGGAGGAGATTGCCCATCCTTCCATAGAGCAGCTGTTGGATTGGAACTGGTAATCCAACTTTTTACCACTAAAGCTCCTGAGGGAGCTAAAACCTACATCTATTGCTAATGAAAATGTAGTGTCATCATGATGGAAAACAGCTGGCATTTGCTCAAAAATTTAAACACAAAATTATTTTATTATCAAAGAATTAAAAAATCAGAAGAAATGAAGGCAGGACTATGAAAAGAAACAGGCCGACTTATGTTCATGCAGCACTATTAACAAAACCCAAAAGGCAGAAACAACAGATGAATAGATAAGCAAAATCAGTATTAACTTACAATGGAATATTACCCAGCCACAGTAGAAATGAAGTTCTGATGAATGCCACAATATGGTTAAGCTTCAAAACTTTGTGATGCTGCATTGTTCACAATAGCAAAGAAATGGAAGCAACCCAAGTACCCATCAACAAACAAATGGATAGAGAAGCTCTGGTATAGTCACACAATGGAATACTACGCAGCACTGAAAAACAAGGAACTCAGAAAATTTCATACAAAATTGGTGACCCTAGAGGATATTACGCTGAGTGAAATATCTCAGTCTACTCACAGAAGGACAAATACTGCCATAATACCACTGTTATAAAACAGGATTTACATTGGGGGTAGGGGAGAAACTAAGAAAAGAGGGGACAAATAAATAACAGTCCACTGAAACAGATGAGGAAAAGAACTGTCTAAAATAAATATATGATTGGGTACTATTTGCCTGACAACATTCCAGAATAAGAGGTGCATAGCAAAGTGGACAGGGAAATGGGGGGAGGAAAGAAATTGTGTAACAATGAAAGAATCTTTTTAAAGAGAAAAGAGAACAGGGTGTGGGAGGTAGGGGGGAAATGTGCAACAATGAATGAATGGAAATCAAAGTTTTCTGTAAATTTTTGTTATAATATCAATTAAAAAAAGAATCAAAAGATACCCTGTGATATATCCCCTTCTCATCCTGACACTTCTGCTACCCCCTGGGGCCCCCAAAATGCATTTTACTAGTTACCCTTCTATTTTTACAATAATTGTTTTATGTAGTATTTGTCCTTATGAGACTGAGTTAGTTTACTCAGCATAATGCTTTCCAGTCCCTCCCAAGTTATGTAGTATTTTTCAAAATTGTTATTCCTGAGTGCTGCATAGTATTCTATCATGTGAATGTATCACATTTTTTTCAATTTGGTGTGTGGATGGAGAGGATAACGGAAAAAAGAAAGATCTGGCACGGACTTGAAAAGACAGGATATTGGTGGCCAATAGTGATTAATTTCATAAAGCACAATGTATGAAAATGATAGTATGGAAACATAAAGTCAATGAAGGAAAGTGTGAAACACAAAAAATTCCCACCACTTTGCACATGAATGAAAGAAAATGTACGTGAATAATTATAAGCATATCACTAAAAAATATGGAGGTAGAAAAATAAGTAATAAACTTTATAAAAATTAAAAAACTCCCCAAAACTTTGTGTAGAGTGAAATGAGAAAATACTGTATAATGTTACTTAATATGAAAAAAATACATACATAACAATTATAAGGGATCTGTGATGGCCTAGTGATAAGAAGTTGGGCTAATGATCCAAAGGAAGATGGATTGAATTGATAAGTTGCTCTGAGGAAAATAATGGACAATCTTTTCCTGTGAAATTTAGTGTCACTTAAAACCTTCTGTAGATTCAGCCATGTCAGTTCTCACTTGATGATACATAGCAACAATAATAAAATTATAATAATTAATAATGTGGCCTTCTGGCAAGAATCTGTGCTGCAATGCCCATGGCACATGGTTCAAATCCACTAGCTGTTCTGTGGGAGAAGAATGGACAATCTCCTCTCATACAATTAACTGCCTCTGAAAATCTGCCAGAGGTGAGGGTCAGCTGTGGGCTGGTTCTGACTTGATGATACACAACTACAACAACAATAATTATTAATACATAGAAGAAGAGTAGAAAGAGGAAGTTTTAGTTTGGGGTATTGAGTTTATGTTAGTGGTGGTAGAATGTTTTGATAACTGATGGAGATGATAATGGCAAAGTGTGAAAAAGTATAACCAGTGTCATTGAATTATAAATGTGGAAGTTGCATTGGCAGATGTTTCATTGTGCATATCTTCACTTCAATAAAAACATAAAAAGAGAAGGAAGTGAAACAGATAAAAAATTTTCCCACATATATATCAATTTCCTCTTTTGTGTTCCTTCTTTCTAAAGGATGAATATTTTAAACAAGAAAGCTTAGGCCATTGCAGAACGTTTTCTGAGTTGTACATCTCTTTGCTTCA